AAACACTTTTTTTCGGGTTTTTTTTTTCTTTTTTTTTTTTTTTTTGTTATAACAGCTTTAAAAATTGGTTGTGACTCACGGCTCGATGAACATGAGGCTTTTCTGCAACTCCCTTGCAGATTGATGTAGGCAGGCAAAGATACACTGAACCTTTATAAATAAAATAGAGGGGCCACAATTGTTCAGTTTGTATGAAATAAAATATATGGGAAGCAATTCAACAGCAACTCAATACACAGAAAGAGAGAAAGGCACTTATTCACTTACGAAACAAAGTGCAAAGGACCTGAGCAGCCCCGCTACGAGGCGGACCGGAGCGCTCGGGCGATACGAAGCGCAGCGCTCCGCACGGCGGGGCACCGCACCTACCTACGGCTGCGACCCGACGGGCACGGCGAGGCGGGGCGGAGCGGAGCGGGGCGGGGCGGGGCGAGGCGGCCCACCCCCCCCGCGGCCCCCAGCCCCAGCGCCAGCCCGAGGCCCGCGGGCGGAGGCGGACCGGGCCCCGCTCGGCCGCCAGGCCGCGGTTCCTGCAGGCCCCGCCCGCCCCTACTCACCGTCCCGGGCCGTGCCCATCAGCTGGTCCAGCAGGGCCCGCATCTGCGCCTGGGCCGACATGGCGGGCGCGGGGCCGCGGGGCGCGGCGGGAGGGAAGGAGAGAGGGAGGAGAGCAGCGGCGGCGGCGGCGGCGGCGGCGGCCTCAACTGCGGCTCCGACCTCGGCCTCGGCGGCGGCGACGCACGGCGGGCGCTGGGCGGAAGTGGCCCCTCCCGGCGGCGCGCGGCATGCTGGGATGTGTAGTTCTGCGGGGGGAGGGGGGCTGGGCTGTGCTGGGCTGTACCAGGGCACGCTGTGCCAATCCCTGCCGTGCTGGGCTGTACCAGGGCATGCTGTGCCAATCCCTGCTGTGCTCCGTGCTGGGCTGTACCAGGGCAGGCTGTGCCAGCTCCTGCCATGCTGGGCTGTACCAGGACAGGCTGTGCCAATCCCTGCCGTGCTGGGCTGTACCAGGGCAGGCTGTGCCAATCCCTGCCATGCTGGGCTGTACCAGGACAGGCTGTGCCGGGCTGTACTAGGACAGGCTGTGCCAATTCCTGCCATGCTGGGCTGTACCAGGACAGGCTGTGCCAATCCCTGCCATGCTGGGCTGTACCAGGACAGGCTGTACCAATCCCTGCCAGGACGGGCTGTGCCAGGACAGGCTGTGCCAGCTCCTGCCCGGCCATGCTTTGGCTGTGTCAAAGTGGACCAGACCCTGCTAACCCCTGCCAGGTTATGCTAAGCTGTACCAGACCAGGCTGTGCCAATTCCTGCCAGGCTGTACTGAGCACTGCTGGGCCATACACTGATTGTACCAGGCTGTGCTAAGCCATGTCAGGCCCTTTCAAGCTGCACCAACATGTGCTAGGACTCACTGAGCTGCACCATGCTGTCAGGCTCTACTTGGCCAAATAAGGCCGGGCTGGGCCTCACCAATCCCTGCTAGGCCATGCTGAGCTGTTCCAGGCTGGGCTGTTCAGGCAGCACAGAGCACTGCCAGCTCATGCCATACCAACCTGTGCCAGGCTGTGCTGAGCCACGTCAGGCCCTGCTGAGCTGCACCAACCTGCATCAAGCTGTGCTGAGCCATGTCAGACCTTTTCAAGCTGCACCAACCTGGGCCAGGCCCTTCCATGCCATACCAAGCCCAACCAGGCTGTGTTGGACCAAGCCCTGCCAGGCTGTGCCATTCCCTGCCATGCCATACTGAGCACATGCTGTAGCAACCTGTCAGGCCCCTTCGAGCTGTACCAGCCTGTGTGTGGCATTCCCTGGAAAGGCATGCTGAAGAAAGGGAAAGGCATAATTGGGTGAAAGGTAGAAAACAGGACTAGGCGAAGGTCTGGTTACAGTTTTCTGCCTAGTAGTCCTGTTTACCCTTTTGGTGCATGGCCTGCAGCAGCTGTGTCACTGGGGAACAGATAAACCTGACTCTGTCCCTCCCAGTCATGGCCTAGCTAGTGCCAAGAGCCTGAGTCAGCCCCAATTTGGTGGATTACTGGCAAGTATGTGGCTCGATTATATGAAACAAAATGGTACTAGACTGAATCAGGACCACAAAATGATGCTCACAGATACGGCTCCATGCCTCTAGGGTGAAATAAAGAAGTGCAACTAACTCCTGTAGGACCCAGGGGAGGCTTTCCTTCCTCTTTCATGAGGCAAGCCTAGCACAGCTTATCGGACTAACCTCATTTAGCAGAAGCAGTGTGCACTGTAGTGATTAAGTAACAAACTCAGCAGAGATCAGATGTTAGCAGAGTATAAAGCAGTGCAGGGACCAGTATCGAGTGGGATCCCCTCCTAGCTGGACTGAGAGCCCCACACCGTTAGCACCAATATCTGAACCAACCAGTGAACATCAGGTTGTGTTATCCTCCCTAAAAATATCTTGAAATCTCTCTTCTTGCCAGGGGGTATTGGTTACTGACTTCTCTCAAGGAATTTGGCCTAATACTGTGCCTTTGGGGAATCGGTGGACTCCATTACTTGGCAATTCATGGAAAACCAAAAGTACACATCCCCCTCATACCCCCTTCCCCTTTACCATGTTAGTTGTTGTAAGCTTTGCCAAGATCGTATGCTTATTTGTGTGTGTTTGGAATTGTTATCCATTGAGTGTTTGTCAACTGAGATTGTAAATGCCATCCAGAGGATAGAAGCCCTGCACAAAGAACAAAAGAAGAGGTGGGGAAGAGGAAAAGCATGATATGTTTGGTCCCAGGAGCATGTCTGTCTGTCATGGGCTCAACAGGAGTGGGCACAGCAGCCTACCCCCAATTGTGAAATGGTGTTTGAAGAACTTAGAGCTGAATTAGACAAAGCTGAAGTATCTCTGCTTGCTGAGGAACTTAAACAGGAGAAACAGAAAAGTCAGGACTATGAAGTTGGAGCTGATAGGCAGAGGAGATATGCAGTCTGTTTGGAAACTACAAAGAGAGATTTACAATTGGAATTAGAAGCAGTGAGATGGGAAGAGGAGAATCTAAAAGCAATCCTTGCTGAATCTGAAACTCAGGAAAGAAAGTAACAAGAGGAGTTGAAATTAATTATATCACAGATGTCCACCACCTGTAACCCTTCAGGTTCAGAATCTGGTGTCTGGTGCCTACCCTGAGACATGGGATGGCGATATCTGGGACTCTAGCAGTGATGAGGGACCACCCCCTCCAACCACACTCAGACCCATTGTAAAGATGGAAATGGTGACTAAGGCAGGTGAAAATGACCAGCCTGGACACATTATCACCACCACCAGAGCAATTCCATGGTCCCTGGCTGAGCTAGCCAAATTACAAGAGAAATACTCCAGGAGGCTGAAGGAATCAGACTGAATATCTTTGTAGAGTGTCTTTGACAGGAGGAGATAAAATTATGTTAAGTGATACGGAAGTCACTGTGTTTTGAGGTCCTGGCATCTTTCTGAATATGAGACCAGGACAAGAAAATCACTCTCTGGCTGCCCATGCAGCGTACTGGGCAGGAGGAATTGACCCACAGGACTGGGTTTACCCATTAGTCATATAAACAGCCAGCTTTTCAGACCTCAGATTATCTGCCTGGTCAAAAAGCTGCCTGTATTCAGGCTGTGTACCAACAAGGACTGGTAGCTGAGTCTCCTATGCTGGCTCCTGTCAATCCTGATTGACCCACTCCTCTACTCCGAGGTCTCCCTCATAGTGTCAAGGTAAGGGAGAGGACCTTACAAATTTTGATGAACCTGAACCAAAAACCTCAATGCCCCAAGCTGTCTCAATCCCTACTGAGCTGCATCAATCTGTACCAAGTTCTACCAGGCCATACTGGGCTGCTCCAGGCCATGGTAAGCCATGCTGTACCAGACTGTGCCAAGCCGTGCCAAACCGTGCCACACTGTGCCAAGCTGTGCCAGGCTGTGCATCGCAGGCAGCAGTGGCAGCGGGTGACATCAGGTGGCAGATCGAAGGCTGCCCGTGGCTTATCAGCTCCCGCTGGCCGTGTTTGCCCAGCAGTGCCTGGGCGGGACCTGCTGCCCCCCCCAGGGCTGCCAGCAGGAGTGTGTGGGGAGGGATGGCAGCACAGTGGGGCATGGCTGGGCTCGGACCCCAGCTTGGTCCCCACATGCAGGGTAGGGTGGGTGATGATCAAGCCCAGGATGGCACTGTCCTCAGCAGCACTGGGGGATAGCTCACCCCAGCGTACAGGGCCAGACCAGGAGCTCATGTCAGCTCCCAGGGCAGGGGCAGGACAGCTCTGGAGCAGGGTCTTCCCATTCCCGAGCCCAGTGCATGGTGTCCCACCTGAGAGCCCCAGCAGGGGCTGCAGGAGGGGGGACAGGACTGAGTCAGAGTGGCAGCCATTCCATGCGTGTCTTCCTGCTGTCACCTGTGGGTTTTCCCATGTCCTCTGGCCACCCTGTGTTCCCCAGCTATCCCATGTCCCCTGTCTGTGCTCTGCACCCCTCTGGGTGGCCACACCATCATGTCCCAGTGCCAGAACAGAAATGGCACAGCAGGACCATCAGCTGCTCTGTTGTCATTGCTGCTCCTCTGTCCCTGCATGGACCAACACAGTCCCAGGCCGTAGGGGAAACATAGGGCATCCCAGCACCCTGTCTGCAGTGACATTGCTACCACCTAGGTGCTGCCCCTGCCCTGGGGCTGGCCCAGAGCTCCCCACAACAGTGTTGTCCATGCAGCACTGCCCAATAGAGACACAAGCCCCAGCACCCAAAGTGCCTTTCCTGCTGTGCCCTGACACCCCAAAACGTCCAACCTCCACCCCAGGGCTGCTACTGGGGCCCCACACCCATTATGGGGTCTGCAGGGAGCATGGGGCTGCAGATGGGGATCTGGAGCTGCACTGGGGGGTGAGCAGCACTGTGGGACCCCTTGGAGGCTGCAGCCCGGAGGGTTCACCCACTGCAGCCACAGCTCTGTTTGCACAGGCAGCGCTCAATAAGCACCGTGTTCTTCAGAAGATCCCTACTCCAGGAGTCAAAATAGCATGAAATTTAATTTTACGCCTATTTGACAAAGCTTGATTTTACCTCCAATCAGCGGGGAGATAAGAGCCCTCGGTACAAGTGTGCGGGCAGTTTGGCAGCTGGGGCTGCCGATTTAATAGGTGAATCTACAGGAACAACACTTGAAAATCCCCTGGCGAGTGAGCCATTAAGGTGAGCCCTGCCTTCCGTCCCCGCGTCCCTCCCTGCGCCGCTCTCCCGTTGCTGGGTGCTAAAGCAAACCCTGGCTCTGTTTACCGAGTCTACTATTACAATACGGCTACCAAATATTTGCCAGCCGTCAGCTCGCTGCTCCGCTATAAATACTTCAGGCCCAGGTGGAGGGACAGCAAGGGGGAACGGCGCGGGAGCCTATGCATGGCCGGGCAGCAGCACCAAGGTGAGTGCCGACCGAGCCGGGCTGAGCCAGGGCACTGCAGGAGATACGGCATCGGGCAATGCCCTCCAGCCCCTGCTGCCCTGCTCTCCCTGCTACCTGGAGGTGAGCATCCCTGCTGGGGTGTGCGGAGCCCCAGGAGCTGAGCCCATCACTTGCCCGCGGAGGGGAATGGGGCACGTGGCTGAGAGTGCCCTGCAGTGAGCATAGAGGGGCCTCATCCAGCTTGGCATGGCTGAGCTGTGGCCAGAGCCCACAGAAGCAGTGCTGAGAGGGGGGCCAAGTTTATCCCCTAACAGGGAAACATTTGGGGTCCTTGTGTGGACTGGGCATGGTACTCAGCATCCTGGTGGTGCAGCCCATAGGGCGCAGTGCTGTGCCCAGGGTGGAAGGTGCTCAGCACCATTCACCACCACACAGAGCCCTTGGGTAACACGGATCAGTCCAGGGAACACTAACCTTACTCTGTAGCTCAGGGGATGTCCGTACTGCTCCACATCCTGCAACTTGGATGGGACACCCCTGCTGCCTCACATCTCGCTGGGGACATCCCTACTGCCCTGCAGTTAGTGGGGTTAGCGGGGACATCCCTGCTGTTCTGCATCCCATGGATCAGCAGGGACATCCTTGCTGCCCTGTGTCCCATGGATCAGCAGAGACATCCCTTCTGCCCTGTGTCCCATGGATCAGCAGGGACATCGCTGCTGCCCCGTGTCCCATGGCCCCCATCCCAGGGACAGGTGTACATCCCCACTGCCCCGCAGCCCCACACTGGCCACGGCATGGTGTGACACAGCCCCACAACGCCTCATGGCAGAGCACCGCAGCGGGGCAGCAGGACAGGGTGGGAGGACGGGGCTGTGCGCCACCCTCACGCCGTGTCCCTGCCCGCAGGGTGAGCCCAGGCCCCGGGGTGTCCCTTTGCACCGACATGGCTGCCGGCGTCATCCGGCCGCTGGCCGAGCTGCGGCTGCCCTCGCCCTTCCCGCACGGCCTGCTCCTGCCCGCGTGCCCCGAGCCCGACTTCCCCGACCTCTCTGAGGAGGACGAAGAAGAAGAGGAGGAGGAGGATGAAGAGGAGGCAGCAGAGCAGAGCAGCGGGCCGGAGCCTGGCGGCCCCAACGCCGCAGAGACCACACTGCGACTCCTGCGCTTCTCAGAGCTCATCAGCTGCGACATCCAGCGGTACTTCGGGCGGCGGGGCCGGGAGGAGGCCGCTGGTGGCCACAGCGTGCCCGAGGACTGCAGCTCGCCCCGCCGCTCACCCAGCCTGGGCCACACGGCACGGGGTGGCCGGGCACAGCCGGAGGCGGCACTCGGTGCCCACGGGGCTGCGCACAGGCTGGGGCCGCTGGCCGAGCTGTTTGAGTACGGCGTGCACCGGTGCCTGGCACCGCAGGCGGTCAGCGGGAAGACGCAGCGGCTGGAGAGGAAATACGGCCACATCACCCCCATGCACAGGAGGAAATTGCCACCCTCCTTCTGGAGGGAGCCGGGTCCCGGCCCTGGCAGCCTCCTGCATGCCGGCACCCCCGACTTCAGCGACCTGCTGGCCCACTGGACGGTGGAGCCGGGGCCGGAGCTGCCGGGCAGCGGGCGGGAGCTGCCTCCTGTGCCGGGCCATGCGGGGCTGGAGGCCGAGCCCTACAGCGGGCTGTGACCCACTGCAGCCCAGGGCCGCCACGCGCCGCCCAGTTAATGAGCAACCCATGGGCAATGGGACACCTGGAGCCAGTGGGTCAGAGCCAGCAATGGGATGAGTGAATAAATGACTCCCGCAGGCATGAGCGCGTGCAGTGTCCTTCACCACTGTACCCCTGGCCCTGGGTGGCAAAGGGCCACAGCACAGCACCCCTCGGCTCCAGGAAGAGGAGGAGGAGGGACACACAGTGGCTGGAGGAGCATAGTCTGTGTTTGCTCGGCAGGCCCAATGCAGTGGATCCCATCCCCTTATCTGAGCTGTGCCGGGGCAAAGGGCAACGTGGGGCCTCACAAAGCACCCGGCTGCCAGCCAGGGATACGCTGCAGCCTGGGCAGGGGGGATTCAGCATCACCACAGGGACCCTGCACTGCCAGCAAGCAGGAGCCAGGCTGGAGAACAGGGCTGCACAGCAGCCCTTCCCCTTTTCCATGGCCTCCTAGCTGCTGCTGGAACCCAGCCCTGTTACCAGGGTCCAGCTAAGGCATCCCCCCCTTTATTACAGTGTTTCTTTGTTGGCCTTGAAAGGGAAAAGCACCCAGGAAGCAGCTCTGGGCACCCACCCCTTGCCAGGGGCCGTGACATGCAGCACTCCCCCCATACAGCACCCCAAATCCCTGGCATCCCCAGGCAGAGCAGTGCTCACAGCCCCTAGCACCAATCCTGGGAGCTGAGCTCCTGCAACAGCACAAGGAGATGGAGGGAAGCACGAGACAGGCAATGCCAGAATAAAAGTACAAACAGAGTTTATTTCAGCACAGAGGTGGTTGGAAGCCCACAGGTACCAGCATTCCTCTGCCCTGCACAGCTCCCAGCCCAGAGCACAGCACAGGATGTTGCCACTGCAGGGCATGGTGCAGTGCAAGGAGCAGGGATAGGGCTAGCACCTGCAGTGATGATGGCAAAGGAAGACAGAGGAAGAGAAGTTACACCAAGGGGATGTGAGGGCTGGAAACTCTCCTCACCCAGGGAGAGCCAGACTGGTCTCCCCCTGTAGCCCAGCCCAGCAGGAACCAGGCTACTGCGCCAGTCTGGACCAAACTGCAGCAAGTACAGAAACAAGCTGAGGGCACTTTGGATCCAGCACCACTGGAGCAGCACTTCTGGGACTTGGAGGAGAGCAGGAGTCAGAGGGTACCACACTCCAGGACCACCACCTCCCAAGGAAAAGGGAGTTCTCCTCTTCCTCTCCCCACCTAGAGCCCAGACATGGCCACACTATCCCTCACACCTTGCCCTTAGGGGCAAAGCAGCTGAGGGAGTCAAGAAAGAGATGGAGGCAGCAGCTGCTGAACCATGGGAGCCCTTTTATTGCACAGCAGGGCAGGGAACTCCTCCAGCCAGAGGAGCAGAATTGCACGAGTGTGGCACAGGGCTCACCCCAACAGTTGGCAGCAGCACAGGGAGAAGGGACAGGGCCTTTGAAGCAGGAGGAGCCCCACCACTTCCCATCCCCACATAGCCTGACCCAGCCCCATGGGGGTGCTCAGGCAGGGCCAGGCCAGACAGCCCAGGGTGGCAGCAGAGACAGAGGGCAGAGACTGTGGCAGAAAGACTGGGCCCAGCTCAACAGGGCACACCAGCTCCCCTGGGCACACTCCTGCCTTCACCCAACCCATGGTGAGCCTATGCAAGGTGCTAACAGAGCCAACCGTGTATTTTGATCCCTCGGGGAAGCAGAGGAAGGAGTGAGGAAGAGTAGAAGGGGAGCCAGCAGACTGGAGAAGGCAGCAACACACGGAGAGCCAGGGCAGCGTGGCTGAGTCGGTGCTCCAGGCACCTCGATGTCTCCACAAGTCAACCCTGTCCTCTCCCTGCCTCCACCAAAACAGGGTCCTGGTCTCAGAGGGGCCGGGGGCCAGGGCACAATTCTGCTGGGTAGTACTGCCCCACATCACGTCTGTGCCAGCGACAGCTCCTCCAGTCCCTCCTTCCCCAGGCGGTACCTGGCGAGGTCTTTGCGGGTGACCATGCCCACCACCTGCCAGGGAAAGGACAGAATTAAGTCCCGAACTAATGAACACGGGGATATAAGAGTATGGGGACAACAGCAGTACCTCCACGAGCTGCCCCAGTGCCTCACCTCATTGTGATTATTCACAACCACCAAGTGCCGGAGGCCCAGGGCTCGGAAAAGTTTGAACACCCGCGGCAGAGATGCCTCCTGCAAGACAGAGTGGGGCCACGGGAGTCACAGTGTGCCCAGCTGGCCCCTAGGGTGGTGCTGGACTCCATAGGGGCAGAGGCCCGCAGTCATTACCTGGGGCACAGTGTAGGGAGAGGGGTTCATGAACTCGCTCAGATCAATCATGCACTCGCGCTCATCCTGGGAGACGTGGATGGACTGGATGGGGGGGAAGCGGGGATAGGCGTCCCGGAAATCCTTCAGCTTCAGCCGCCGCTGCACCAGGTTCAGGTTGGCCCTTTCCACAAAAACCTGGGGAGGAATGAGACCCCTAAGGGACCACCCCACGATGCTCACTGAGGCACTCAGCCCCACAGCCCCAGGGCACCCACACGGGCAGGGAGGGAAGAGGCCGGAAGCATGGGGTAGGCAGATCTTCTGGAGGGGAGCACTCAGCTTCCTGATCCCTGGGATGGTTTCTGTGTACTCACCTTGTGCTTCAGCAGGACAATGAGCTGGGAGCGCAGAATCAAACCCCGCAGCCCAGCCACCTGCAACAGAGCACCCAGCATGAGGCAGGGCTGGTTGGGGCAGCAACGACCATGGTCCCACAACACAGCCATCTCTTGCACAGACAACCCCCAGGCAGTCCCAATCCCACCTGTGTGGTGTTGGGGTTGCTCTCCACCACTGGGAAGCCGTTGTGGTTGGAAGAGGTGTCACTGAGGATGTCCACCACAGTGCCCACCCGCTCGATCCTCCGCAGGCAGGTGACAGGCGTGCTCATCACTTCCCTGCAAAGAAGGGTCAGTGTGAAACAGCTAGATGGCAGCACACCCCAAATCCACCCCAAAGTGCACAGCTCTCAGTCCTGACACATCCTCTGTCCCCACAGTGTGGGGGACATGGGAACAGACATCACCCTGCTGGGGAAGGGGCTGGGCTGGCAGAAGCATGACCCCAGGGCTGCCCCCAGAGGTGCTAGACCCTCAGTCCACCTACCTGGCTGTGAGCGAATGGGACGTCACAGGAGCCTCCCAGTGCAGGAAGGGCACACTCTGCAGCTGGATGTGCATGTCGTAGAGCCCCTGCAAGGAGAGTCATGCCATCAGGAGATATGCCAAGGGAGTACAGCCAGGCAGCAGTTCATGTCTGCATCAGATACCAGGGTCTCCTCCCAAGGCTCTGCGGCAGCCCCAGTCCTCACCTACAGCTTCCCCTAGCTCTGCAGTACCCCAAATTCTCACCCACAGCCTCCCACCCCATCCCAGACTCACAGTGAGCACATCCAGTCCTCACCTCCACAAAGTAATCTCCCACAATCTTTGCTGTCATCAGCACCAGCATGATGGGGAATCCATAGGTGACGTTGCCTGTTGCCTCCATCATGATGACGGTGAGACTCAGCGTCATCCGCACTATCCCACCTGCAAGAAGCACCCAAGAGGATCAGGGGCTCAGGATAGAGCACCCAAGACCCCTCAGTTTCTGCACAGCAACCCAGGACTCTCACACAAGCACCACATCCAACCCACCATGGGACACTGCTCCCCTCTGCTGGCTTTGCAGGCAGGAGCCAGTCACCAAGTGACAGCAAACCACACAGTGACAGGGCTCCAGGGTAGGTTAGGGGAAGCCAGAGCTCCCAGACCCAAACTAGACTGCAGCTCCATGGCACATCCAGCCCTGGGAGCTGCCCTGGACAAGCCCAGCCCCCATTTTTGCCACAGTGCTGCCAGCACTTGGTAGTGTTGCGAGGAAGCTGACAGCCAGATTGGGTTTTAACTTGACAGTATAGGCTGCACTCCAACTAGGGGAAAATCTTCATCAGAGAAGCAGAGAGCATTTTTTTCCCATGCCACCTTCACTGTGACACAAGTTGGATATGGCCATGACTCCCCAAGGGGGGCAACTCAGCAACTCACCCAGCTGTGCAGCAGCTCCCATCAGGGCGTACTTCCCAGGGTCAGCCCAGATCTGAGCACAGGAGAGAGAAGGGACCAAGTGAGCTGCTAGCTCCAGGGCACACAGAGATAACAAGCAATGCCCTGGCCCCAAACCCCACTTCTGAAGGAGCAGAGCATGCCAGAAGCTGCCTGCACAGCCCATGTGTCAGCAGGGTTCTGTCAGGGCCAGGAAAAGCCCAGATACTGCTCAGGAGAATATCAAGTGAGGAGTCAACCCACCCCACACTTCTCCAGACCACCGTGCCAAGCTCTCAGCCAGCTCCATGCCCACTGCCTGCTTGTGCTGCCAGGTCAGCAGCAAAGGAGGTCAGTGAGGAGCTGCACTGCCCCTTCTCATCAAGTGCTCACCGAGCCCTTGGTCAGGTAGGCCAGGGAGATGCCAAACAGTCGTCCCCAGGCAGCACCAATCAGCAGGGAAGGGATGAAGACCCCTGCAGACACCGTGAGGCCATACGTCCAGCAGGCCAGGAAGAAATACATCAGGGTGAACATGCCCAGTGTCATGGGGTTGTAGGAACCTGGGGTGGGAAGAGAACAGGGAAACAGTGCCAGTCCCACAGCCTGAACAGCACTACAGCCATAGGAGAACAGCCAGCAGCCCCTTCTGCAAGGCAACGTGACAAACTTTGCAAAGCCCTGAGAGACCATCAGCATTGGAGGACAAGGTCTGGTGGGCAGAGGCACTGGTGAACTCGTCCCAGAACAGCTTTGAGATCAAAGCAGCAGCCCTGGGGGGTAGAGAACACTTTATCATTACACGGGGTCCAAGGGAAATAGGAGCTGAAGTCTAAAAGCCAGATTTCATTTCTCACACAAATCCAAACTCCAAAATCCACCTCCACAACCTACCCAGAAGGTAAAGTCATTCAGGGGCAAGAGGACCTGTTAAGTAAGAAACCAGCCAGAGATATTTCCAGGAGGGACTCCAGAGAGCAAGCAAGGGTTAGACACAC